TATCAAGCACTAGTAAGCGTTGCAAACAATAACTGTTGTAGACGGCCATCTTAGGCTGGCAGTTAGTATGGGAAATTATTCTTAACAAAATTGCTAATAAATTTCTAGCCAAACTCGAGTTTAAAATGTTAAGTGTTTATATAATAATAAACACTGTTATTACTGTGATGGTACTTTGTATAAGCCTGTAGTAGGCAGCTTTTACAGTAGTCTCATTAAGATGAGCAACGCTGTTAGTAGTAGTTAATTGCGAGGATAAGCTATCACTTTGTAGTCCGCTCCGTGCTATAAAGTTTGCGGAGTCAAGCATATGACGATGCCCTAGACAAACGCCCGCTTTGGCTGTCAAAACATTATGACGAGTAATATGGCGTGATCTTCTTACTTGAGTCATATACTCAGCACCATCTTTGCCAGCTTCGACCAATCAAATTTTATCTTCACGGAGAGTTTGGGTTTTCCAGCTACTGCTGCTGTAGGCCTAACGGTACTCCTGGAGATAGATGACTTATAGGTTGAGAAAGGTCTCGTGGAGCGACTTTATAGCGCTCGTGTTGCCCTGGGTGAGAGGTGCAAAAGTATGCGTGACTCTTGCTCTTTCAGTAACGCATGCCGGGCTCCATGAGCCTACTTTAGCGTCCTGGTTACGCTCTGGACACCGTCGTGGTTTTCACGTCGTATGGTTGAGACACTTTGCGTAGATGAAAAAGTATACGGGGTAGGAACTCGTGCAAAGGGCAGGCTGAGCACAGTGAGCACTTCCTCGTTGGGGATTGGCTCGGACGTATATCGCCGAGTGAAGGTAGAGATGCTTGGTCCGTACTCTTTGAGTGGCGGGGACTGTCTCTGTCGTTGAACACCTTGACATCCACACTGTTACGGTATTACACATATCAAAGACCAAACCCAAACAAGCTTACGGTACGAGGCTGGATAGCCAGTAGTTATACATGTATATACATTTTACTATACATATTTAAGAAAATCTATGCAATTAAAATTAGGCGGTTTTGCCGCAGATGGTTTTGAATTTAAACCGAAGAGTTAATTTAGCTTGGGTTAAGGCTATAATTAATCTTGGAGTAAGCGGATTGCGATCCGCTCAACTCGTACTTGTTCTAGGTATAGAGCGATAGGTCGGTGACCTAACTTACGCTTCCTCAACACGCAAAGCTACGACAGCCCCGCTGCACTTGGTAGCACTTGTTGGTCAATCTATACCTGGCTCATTTAGTCTGATCCTCATCGGGATGGAACAATTTTCCTCTTTGCCCCAGGGCATGCAGGACGAGCTTAAAAAGCTGATGTCCGTGCTGGGCCCTGAGTGCGTGCACCACCTTGCTTCGCAAGGCCCCGAGGCAATCGTTGCGCGTCTAGAGGCGTTTCAAATCAAGAAAACGCGCTGCGAGAGCACCTGCAGCAGAAGATGTCTACTTCATTTGCGTCTATGACGCCACCATCAGTGACGGATGATTTTCCCCGCCGTAAGCCGCTCATGGTGAGCGTTAAGGTCTTCGAGTGAAAGGATAGAGAGAATCTCCTGCTCTGGATGAGAAAGGTCGAGATGGCCATCACATCCGGCATGCTCCAGACCGAGCAACAGCGCGTGGCGCTAGCCATATCTAAGCTCGGTGGTCGAGAGCGAGAAT